AAGATCTGATGAAGGGTCTAGGCCCGAAACGTCAGCCTCTCTGCTCCTATGATGCTGCTTGGCCTGCTGTGTTCATCCAGCCCTGCACCTTGTTGTCATGAATAGATTGGTACTTTCTTTTGAGACATGCATGACTCTGTTTCTGATATTCCTTTGTTTCAGATGAACTTTCAGATATAATGCCAGGTAGACTCAAATCCTTTTGACTGGTATACCATTGTGCTCCCATCTAAAGTGAGTCAAAGGATAAGATGTTGGCTCATACAATTCTGAGAATCAGCAGTGTTGTGTGAGCATAAACAGTGCAGCAGTTTAATGGGAACAGTCATTTACAACAGTCATTTAGGATGAGTAATAAATGATTGCCTGCGTAAAAAGGATAAATTAAACAGATGCACAATCTGCTTTATTCCTCCCCTCTTGATCCTGGCTTGTAAAGAATTCCTAATAGAAAGAGAGGAAGTGGAAATGCTCCAAAACTGTCCACCTTTTAATTCTGTCTACATCATCCTAAATTTAATGCTCACCCTGGTTATGAAATTGTGTAAGCGGATCTAAGTCTAGAGTCCTAGAGTTGTTATACATCAAGCTAAACGTGCAATAATAGACAAAAACATGACTTTATGTGTTTGTAATATATAGGTGGTTGCACGGATTTACATCGATATATAATGAATTGTTTTTGATTTTTTTCATTTCTTTAAAGGTCCAAAGACAACAAAAGCAATTTGGTGCACCTTGATGGTTTTTTTTTCTTCCCAGAAGCTGCTATCCTTATATTGTAGCTGTGCTGAGCATTGGGTCATCATTATGCAGTTTGCAGTGGAAGTTGGAATTTAATCAAATAGCTTTTATTAAACTTTGTTCTTGGAGGAATCTAGTAATCCAGTGGGCATTACTGATCCTTGGTCCTATGTTCAAGTCAATCTCATACAGGTTTAATTAAATTCTCTTATATTTTGACAGCTGTAATGGTTATCCTATGAAATAGGGGTTTGCTTAATTTCAATCCAGCATCCATTAACTGTGAGCCCTATTGTGTAAAACTACCAATAAATTTAAAGTGAAACAGATGACCCATAAATCTTATTCAATCTGATCATATGCACAGGCATTGGATTAATTAGAACATTCATACAGGGGTGGAAAATGGAGTTCTGTGTCTGTTTTAGGAATACGAATGTAAAATTCAGGGGCACCTGAGTGGAGTTGCGCCTTGCTGCACCTGGAATTAGAATGACTTTTAAAAAGACTATGAAAGGAAGGACAGGATTTTATCATTTTTATTTTTGTAAGTCCAAGAAAAATCAGAGCGGTCTTTCTGGCCCGAAACTGAAAAAAAAAACTCTGCGCCAGTGTCAGAACTTTGGAGGCCTCCCACAGACTCTCTCTCCTCTCCTAGACCTCAGTGCCTTTTGCAAAGTTCAGGAACCAGCAGTCTCTCACCATCGTCAACAGACAAACTGCGGCAGGATCCCACCTGGTGATGCCAGCTTGCTGGTGGCATTTTAACATTGCTCGCTGCTGAATTTGGCTTTATCCTCAACAGACCATGCATCCATGGCTCTGCTGGCTTTTGTCTGCTTTGGGCACAGGTCGAATTTCTCAATTTTTATTCAACTATGCCACAAAATTCTCTTGGATTACAAGGAATGCTGAATCAGCAGCTGGAAAATATCATTTTCCAATTGAAAATAAATCATAAAACTAGAACCAATTTATTCTTTTCTTGGCCAATCAATTTTTAAAACAAAGCAAACATTGAAGTTAGAAAGTAACGATTGTTTACTGACACTGCTGCAGAGTTCTAAGCTGTGGTTAATATTACATTTTCTGTTATTGGAGATCCAAATAAAATTGACATCCTTTCGTGTATTGCACACCCCAAACTGCATACCAAGGGCACAGCAGATGAACGATCCAAACAGTATTTAGCACTTAGCTGTGTAAAGCTGAAAAATAAAGTGCCCCAGAAAATCAATATCTGACTATTGAACAGTTTTAAAAATTAGTTTGACTACCTTGACAAAGGAAAGTGATTCAAGGACCTGTGTTTTCAATTTTTTTTTTGAAAATAAGATTGTGGACTCTTTCTAGATCAAAAATATTGGAAGGAACACAATGAAAGATCTGTGGAATGAACAATTTAAATGTTTATGGAACGTTAATTTTGTTGTTCACTTGCTATCACTTTTAACACAAATTTTCTGACTTTGTACTGCCAGTATAAAGCTTTACCCACAGTGAGTATGTATTGCAAATAAGTGCACATATTGAGTATGATCACCTGACCATTTAAATTAATGATTAGTGAATTACATCCTGAAATCTACAGAAATTGTTATACTGGATAATGGTCCTCACCAGACCTCCAATTTGTAAAATTACTCCAGTTTCTGATGTCTACGTAATCTTTCTTACTACAGCTCACTTTTACATCTATCTAATCATATTGATTGGTCATGATGCATATCTCAACAGAAAATCCTTCCACAGAAATCAGTTATGATGATATTATGTGATATTATTATTGTTATGACCTATTGTGACATCTTGCTGAACAATCAGATGCAAATTACTATAAACTGATATTCTGGCATTTCAATTGTTAGATATCAAGGATTGTACTTACAAACATAATGCGAGTAGGTATGTGGTCCGACTGCACAATGGGGTTTTTGTACAGCCAAATTTCTTCTGGTTGAATGACGCGCTGGAAAGGATCCAGAAATTCTGTAAAACTGTGAAGAAAATGCAAAAATAAGGTTTATTTTTGTGTATGGAAGAAGTGAGGGGAGGTGGAGGTGTGGGTGGTGGGGGTGGGTGGGATGATGATTTCTCCCTGTAAAAACAACAATCTGAAGCGCAATTTTACCATGTGAAAAATAAAATCATATTTTACCTCACCCGGGATGAGACCCAGCAGAAACAAAATGGAGTTACTGTGAGAAGGAGGCCCTGTTTTAGTTTGCTGGTCTTTATGCACTTGTTGGAATTTGAATTTATGATTTATTTATTTATTATTTTAATTTTTGTGATTTCCTGTTCTCTAAGAATTTTATCACTATGGAAGTAAGCAAATATCTCTTAATAAATAGTTTTTACTGATTACGTGGTAGCACTCAAAAACTCTGCTTCAGTAATTAGGGGAGGCACGGTGGCTCAGTGGTTAGCACTGCTGCCTCACAGCGCCAAGAACCTGGGTTTGATCCCACCCTCAGGTGATTGTCTGTGTAGAGTTTGCACATTCTCCCCGTGTCTGCATGGCTTTCCTCCAGGTGCTCCGGTTTCCTCCCACAGTCCAAAGATGTGCAGGCTAGGTGGATGGGCAATGCTAAATTGCCCATAGTGTTCAGGGATGTGTAGATTAGGGGGATGGGTCTGGGTGGGTTGCTGTGAGGGTCGGTGAGGACTTGTTGGACCGAAGGGCCTGTTTCCACACTGTAGGGATTCCATGATAATGTTCTAAGTTGGCAAGGACCATCGCTAGACAAATGGCCTACTTTCTTTCGAAATGTTGACCTTTAAGTCTTTTCAATAGGTTACATCTAGTAGATATAATTTCATAATGGAAACTAAGCCCTTATTTTACATTACAGATTTTGGCTTGAAGGCAACTGGTATGTATGACAAATACCAGGAAGCTATCAATGCTAGAATTATCAATCCTGCACCATTTTGGACTCCAGGGTCTAAATTCTCATCCTTCCCCAACATTCTACCCATCCACCCCTTCAGACCCCAGCCAACCCAGAAGAAAGTTGGTCTTGAACAGATGAACATTCACAAACTTCATTTCCAGTTCTATAATAAAGCTTTTTCTTCTCTTAAAAAAAAAGGAAACAGCTGAGGCATTTTCAAAACAGGAAATATTCACTTTTAAAGGGATGTTGGATTCACTTGAGTGATGTTGCTACCTTTGTGCAGCAAAAATGCAAAATAAGTTGGAAAGAATTCACCAATTATCTTGGTGGTGCTGGTGGAAGAAGAGTGGGTAAGTTTGGAAATTCTCTTTCCCACCAAAGGATACGATCTCCAGAGCGGATGTTCATCTGCTTTGGAGAAAAGGTAGCCGAGATAGTCAGCTTTCAGGAACATCTCTTCCAGGGCCTGGGAACAATTCATCAAACAGGTCAATTACCTGACCACACACTTAATATGCACCCAGCGTCTGTTCCTACTGAATTCCTCTCATGTGCTCTACAAAAATCAAAAGACTAAAAGGAATGAGGTTTCAGATGGCATCAAGCTTGGGCTTTAATAGCTTAAAATTACAGATGAGCAAAGGTTTGAGCAATGGGATGACATTTTTATGCCCTGGGAAAGTATGAGTCGAAAAGTGTGTAATGAAACAGATTTTATAATAATACAGGTAATCCCTGGTTTGCAAATGGATTCTATTCTTGACTCACTTCACAAGTCGATTTGTCTGCAAGTCAGAACACAATACAAGACATTATAAAATATCTGTTCTTAAAAATGAAGAAATTTCCACGTGTTGGATCTTTAAAAATTAATATTAATACACCTCTGTGTGGGATCACGTTAGTAAGCACAAGCTTTTGTTAGTAGAACATTCCTAAATCTGGGACTGTCTCTAAGCATAAAGGTAGGAGGATGAATGCATAAAACACCACATCTAGAGTTTAAAACAAGACAGATAAGTTTTGACAAGTATTTATTACGGTAGCATTCATAACAGAGACACAATAAAGATTGTGCCGCAGGTAGAGTGACAATGAACTAGATGTCGAGGGAAAATAGGGATCACATGCTACTTGACTTCATGGTGTATGAAATTCTTTGAAGTTTGGAAGTTGTAGTTTTTGGTTAGAAAAGATAGTGAAGTCAAGAATGTCAACATCTATAAATGTTTCTTAGCACGCCCTAACGTTATTTCAGTTTCATAATACATAAGTATTCAAAAAGCTTTGAAATACAAGATGATTTGCAGCTATTCTGTCATAAGTTATACAAAAGCAGATGAGATTCAGTACTAGAAATTCTGAAACACTGATCTGTAGAACTGTGATCTGGGCACTGATGTGAAGACCTCTGCCTTCTCCAATCTGGTTACCAAAGTAGGTGGTTTGGTATAGTTTTTTTTCTGGATCAGCTTAATACTCTGCCAGCCAAGTAAGTGGGACAAAGGATTTGGCAGGTTAATATTCACGGATTCTCTTTCTGTTGCAAACTTAAAAATAAACCTTCCCTGCTTTAAATATTTTTTGTGGGCTTAACTCATCAATCGTTGCTTCAAGTTTTCTTTTGCAGTTAGCTTGTATTGGAGTTTGATTTATTATTCTCACATGTACCAAGATACAGTAAAAAGTGTTGTCCACAAGGCTGTGTATTTTACGACCTACTATATGCCTTATACATGCATAACTGTGTGGCCAAATGCCACCCCAACTCCATTTGCAAGTTTGCTGACAACACCACCATTGTTGGTCAGATTTCAAACAACAACGAGACAGAGTACAGGAAAGAAATTGAGTGGTTAGTGGCCTGGTGAAAAGACAATAATCTATCCATCAACATCAGCAAAATAAAGGAGCTGGTCACTGACTTCAGGAAGCGTTGTGAAGGGCACACCCCTGTCTGCATCAATGATGCTGAGGTGGAGATGATCGAGAGCGTCAAGTTCCTGGGAGTGATGATCATCAACAATGTGTCCTGGTCAACCCATGTCAATACAATGGTCAAGAAAGCACAACAACACCTCTTCTTCTTCAGGGGGCTAAGGAAATTTGGTTTGTCCACAAAGACTCTCACCAATTTTTATAGACACACCATAGAAAGTATTCTATCTGGATGCATCATAGCACGGTATGGCAACTGCTCTTCCTACAACTATAAGAAACTACAGAGAGCCGTGAACACAACCCAGTCCATCACACAAACCAGCCTTCCATCCATCGACTCAATGTATACTTCTTGCGACCTTGGGAAAGCTATCAACATAATCAAAGACCCATCCCATTGCAGTTATACTCTCTTTCAGCCTCTTCCATCAGGCAGAAGATATAAAATCTTGAATACACTTACGAACAGATTCAAAAACAGCTTCTTCCCTGTTATCAGACTTTTGAACAGACCTCTCAAATGTTAAATTTGATCTCTCTTTCTGCACCTTCTCTGCGGCTTTAACACTGTATTCTGCATTCTGTTCTGCTGCCCTGATGCACTTTATATGGTACGATCTGCCTTCTCCAACAAATACCCTACATATTCTTCTCTGAGTATATAGCGCTTGAAGATATTGAAGAATGATCTGAGGCATTATTTCCTCTTCATCAGGGCTACTTCAAGTTCTTTGCAGGTACAAACTGTGTGAAAATGTTCAGAAATCAGCATTTATTCAGACACTAAACACATGTAACTTAAAACAAATCAAGGTGCTTACTTTAATGTGATATTACTGTGACAAAGCTTGCTTCTACTTTCATTCCATTTTTAAATGGAAAGCACAAAAATTTTCTCAAAGTCTCTGTCCCCTTAAAACATAGCTCAGTTGTGAGAATTTGCCACCCTCCCATCCAATTCATAAGTTTAAAATTAAGAGCTTAAAATGTTCAGCATATTTTTCTTGTCTATATCCCCTTTGGTTCTGGCAATAATCTGAATATCAAAAAAGAACAGACCCTAACTAGAATGTATGAACAGCTGTGACTTTGTTTTTCGGATGAATGTGTGAGAGAGCGCTTAAGCAAACTCGTGAAGTGACTGACTATGAATCTGATGGCCAAATTGTAAGTATTTGCCAATAAAACAAATTAAATAGGAAGGAATTTAGGCAGAAATTTCTGTGCATCATGTGTAAAGATTGGATTAGTTTGGCAATGACGAATGCCATAAACATGCTGACAGCAAAGCTTATTGAAGCTGTATATTGGTTTCAGCAAATAATACATGGCAATTGTGATACCATTCATTGTGCAATCTCATGCAAGTTGAATTCTGCCCAATGAAACAAAACATCTGACTTCTCTTTCAGTTTCAAGAAAACAGGGAAGGATCCACAAATGCTTACACTCCATTGCAAAGAACTATTTAGTTGCTGTAAAACTGTTAAAGTTTGTACTAGACCCAAATCTGACTATAGTCAGAAGTGACACAAATCTTCCTAACAGATGACAGACACAGGCTTCATTTGTGGCGAAGCTGGGTAGAGTAATTGTGGACTGGAAGGCAGGACGTTAGAATTTTTTTGTAAAATGATAGGAAGGAAGAATGCGTGGTCCCTTTGAAAGATGTTGTGCTTTTCTAGGTTTGGAGATTGAAAAAATCTGCAGATGCACAGAAAGTTCTTGAGATTGAAACATTTGTATCAGAGGCTGTATGGTTAGAAAAAAAATAATGCAGTTTGTTTTGTTAGCAAGGCAATCAATTTGAATATCAGCCAATTAATTTAAACCAGGTATGTAGAGAGTGAAAACTAATTAAATTTAAATTTGATGCCTTTGACAACCTAGGACCAATCTGAGTGAAAGAAATTGATTGGGCATCAAAGGAATAAAAGGCCATTTGAAAAATCGGTGTGAGAGTGAACTGCCATCTGAAGAGGAACTCACTGGCTCTCTCAGAAATTTCTAAACTCTCAGAATAAGCACCATCTAAATAAAAGGTACCACAGCACTCTTAGCTAATATTCCTGATACAAGAAGGTGTTCCTGACTGGAGGACAGCGGAGAAGGCAAAGAACATTCTAGAAGACTTATTCTGGCTGTAATTCTGAGAA